GTGTGTGTGTGTGTGTGTGTGTGTGTGTGTGTGTGTGTGTGTGTGTGTGTGTGGATGGCACGTTGCTTAGATGTTCATTTGTTCAATTTTCCCCTGCGGGTGAGAACGGTCTGTCAGAAAGTGAAAGCACCACTTTCTCAGGCATATGATTTTCCCCCTCTCGTTTTGGGCCGTTTCAGGTCTGGTTTTTACAGGCTGTTTCATTTGCCTGATTTATGTCCCTTGTCCAGACTCCTGCATGGGCCTGGCCTGCAGCAGCCACATGGTCGTCCCACACTTCCTAATGAGGTGTCCTATCAGTAGAAACACTAACAGAGTGCTTAGGCCATCTTTATGACTTTATGATGTCTGGACTCACAAATCATTCACGCAAATACCAGACACATAGGTCCAAGCCAGACCAGGCAAGAGGCCCTTCTGTATACTTTTGAAGGGGGTTGTTTTCAGTCACCTGAGTCAATYGTGAGCAACATGTTTAGAAAAAAAGGTGAAAAACGTGATTGAAACTTCTTTTTAAAAGCTTTATGATTCATTCTGTTTCTTTTTGTTTCCTGGCAGGCAATCTCACTGCTAAGCAATACTGGGTTAGATCACATACTGGAATAGTATTTGTGGCCTCCTATAATGAGCTTATTAAACTCAAGGAAGTGTTGGAAACTGTTAGAGTTCCCTATAATTCCAGTGCCATAATTTGAGAGGTATCTTGTTCAAAGCTGATAGCACCCAGACCCTTCACGCCCCCACCTCTGTACCAACATGTGTCCAATCACAAGCTGTTGATTCATGCACCACTTCTTGTCTCTGACTCCCTTCTCTTTTCCTTTTTTCCCCACCGCTCCTCAGTTTCGTTTGCCAGATCAGAGAACTTGGGTAAGTTCTTCTTTAACCTGCAGCTCTTTACTTCTAACCAATCAAATTCACCATAGACGCAATGCTACTATGGGATCATTTTGTCATGCCAGTATAGGAAAATCACCTGTCTATGTTTACTTTGCTCTTCACATGACGTTATGTTACAAACAACAAAGCCTATTTTTTATTTGTTTACATCTTCACATCAAGACTGATTAACACGAAAGGGTCTTTAGGTGGGAATTTCCAGCTGAGCTACACCCATTTTATCCGGCAGCCTTCAACATATGTTTGCTTATTTGGAAAATTACATTGTCAAATGATGGAGGAGGATAAATCTAAGGTGTTGTGTTGGTTAATGTTTGTGGTGGTGGGGAGTAAAAGGTAGCTGCATCGGGGAAAAGGGTAACAGTCTCTTTGGGATTCTGTGGAGGGGAGTGAGAGGTTAGGCCCACCCTCCGAACATCTGGTTACTGATAAAGATCAACAATCGAAAAATGCATCTCGCTAATTAAGGCCCTAACAGCATCACTGACATCTGAAGATAGCCAATCAACTGCTGGTCCCAGAGCGACGCTACAGCAACATACAAGTTYACAGTTTCATGCACTCTGCCTGCAGGGAAAGGACAGGGGGGTTTTGGGTGGTATGCGCGTTTGAATGTACACGTTAATAGCTGGGTCGAGGTCAGCCCTGAGGAGTAGGTGGTCAAACAGTGGCCTAATGAACTTGGCTACAAATCCATTCAAAGATCTATGTAATCTTTTGGCAGACTAAGGGATAATACACTAAGCTCCTGGAGGGAACATGTAAATCATTCACTACACAAATGCAAACAAACCTTTTAACTGGTTAATAGAAGCTGACGAGCCTCTTTCATGTGCTTTTGGATGATTTAGGAAAAACAAAAATATTTAATGCTATCGCTATAAACGCACCATGGTTTATGTTCAAAGTGCATATGCATCAATTGTTTTAATGAAAAAAACTGCAAAGTTAGGTTTTTATTCCACCACATACATTTTCACAACAGATGTAGCTCTTTATGGCAGCATGTGTGCGCTGAGCTTGGATCAAAATTCCCCAGTAGATGGAGCCAAGGTGGAGTAGCATTCAGCTCTTAAAAATGTCGAACAAGCTTGATATTGCCGACAGCTTTAGGGGCTCTAACGTTCCCAAGATTTATGGATTCTCATAGAGCGAGGCGGACTAACTGAACACTTTCTCCAGCGTCTGAAAAGAGCCCATGTTGATATACACACTGTGTACTTAAACAAAAAAAAGATATGAAAGCACTTCTTCTCCTTCTCCCCTCCTTTTTCTCAGTCCTTAGCTTTCTCTCGTTGCGCTTTGATTCATGGTGTGTAGCACCGGCATATTCATAATCAAACAGACCTGACACTCCACATCCTCCCTCAGTGGGGAATGTCGACGGCTGCGGCAGGAACTTTACACTTGGCCGTCACTCCTAATCATCCGCTCCGAACACTGAACTCCACCACCATCCATCAGCCATCAATCCCTCTCCTCTCTCTGCTTTTTCTTTCCATCCTGCCCTGTTCTTTTCTCTCTGTACGTCTTTCTCTCGCTCTCTCCATTTTTTGTGTCCCCCTTTCGTCTTCTTTTCGTGTTTTTTGCCCCCATCATCATATTCTTCTTCTTCAATATTCCCCTCTGTTTCTTCTCTCCCCATTTTGTCGTTTTTGGCGTGAAGCCTGAGCGTGACGGGGGGGGCAGGAGATGGAATGTCAGAGTCAGAGCAGGGCTCCGGTGGAGGACCTGAATCAACACTGATTTGTTGCCTTATTGAAATAAGAAGAAGAAACAGGCTGAAAATTCAATACACGTAAAATAATGCAAATTTGAGTGGACCCCTTTTTAAAGCGAGGGGAGGGGGGTCTGTGTGTGTGTCTGTGTGTGTGTGTGTGTGTGTGTGTGTGTGTGTGTGTGTGTGTG